ATCCATTAGATTTATGTGATGATTATCAGACCAATTATCACTTATAGTGCAATTGCCTGTTGGCCGAAGGTTTTACAGAAAACGGCCCAGGCGCACAGAGACAGGCTTGTCTGCCCTTCAGTGGTGCCATCAGTACCACACCGTCAGCGGCCATGTAGACCCCTCTAGATTGCCAATTGCACAAATCAATTCAATGCAGAGTGCCACAGACTGTTCTGAAAATGACCTCTGACTTTATGCCTACAACTATCAACTACTAACTACTAACTAACTCGAGTTGACAGAACGGGATCTTCCGGGAGAAGGAAATATCAAGAGCAGATGGATCAAAAGAACCTTCATAATTTTAACTGCACCAATATCGAGTTTCAACACTTAAATCGCGATCAGTTTCTGAACTGAACATACTATTCGTCACCGTAAGATGACTTCAGATTTGATTTTATGACTCTTCAGCCAATCATAAAACTTGGTTAGTAGAAATTATCCAATACGAACTACCAATTCTTCAGTTCACGTGGACTAGTTGACAAGGGCTTCATTTATCTGTATTGGTGTTTTTGGCCTTTGAGAACGCCGACACCTTAAGTATGCACAATACTTATACTTTGATTATACATAGCACTCAACAATAAAGATCAGGTAATGATACCTTGAAGAATAAGAACACCATCTTGGCCTTTTCGCGGGACGTCATGAATGCCGTTGATTTTCCCCGAACATTAGTTATACATTCGAAGAGATTTTCGCCAACAGAAAAATTTAGATAAAATTAATTGTTTTTTTTCTGCAGATAATGCAGTCACTGGTCGTTATAATCCCTATTAGTATGAGAGCCCACGACCAAAATTTTTGTCTCATAGCAATACAGCCACAGCCGCATCAAATTAATAGATTTGATTATTTCGAACTCGAAAATACCAATTTTAGTTATTATTCGCGTAACGTTCGACCGGACTGAATTTTCAAAAATGTAACAAATTTTACCGAAATGTATCATATCAATCTGTCTGATTTTCTGACTGTAGTTAAATAATAGCTTTAAGACACCAAAAACATATTTTTCAGAAGTCAGTAGTGGAGTGCGAACCCAAAAAATCATTTAGAAAAGTTAAGAAACACAAAAAAAATTATGATAGCAATCCGTCTGAAGATGTTCTTTACGAGTAAATTAGGGTTAGTTGATGTGGAAAAAAATTGTTTTCAGAAGGAAATTTGGATGCATCAAATTCTGAGACCATTCTGAATATGTTTGGGAATTTTATCGATCGGTAACAGCAATCTTTCTGAAAATTGTTAAACGTGCACCTCCATTATCAGAAAACTTTTCGATACCTCAAAATTATTCAAAAATCGTATTCAGGCATATTGGAGTATATGTTACAAGCAAATGGATAAATTGCGACCCTGAAATCGTAAAACTGAAGTTGAATGACTAAAATAAATGGCACACAAGGAAACTGGGATGAACTAGAAATATAACGGTTTATTTAAAGTTATAAAATGTTAACGTATTCAATCACTGTCTGTATCGGAATCATCATCACCGAAATCACTCTCGAGATCACTTGTGAGATCTTCAATGTCGTCCCCTATAAAATAAATATCATTATTAAAAATCACAAACTTAATTATTGTGGAAATAACATGTGGAAATAACCGCATCATAAGAAGCGCTCAGCCATCGGCCAAGCGACTCCAAAACGTTCTTTTCTCTTTTGGGAGTGCATGCGACATCTAAAATTTCTGAAAAGAGTTTTTTTGTAATCGTGGCATATATACGAACGGTTCAAAAAAATGTATCCGGATTGCTATAATACAGGTCGGCTAATACAGGTCGGCAATTTCAAAAATTTGCTTCAGGTATGTACTACGCGCAAAATGTCTGAAAACCATCTTATTCGTCATAAAATTATAAAATCTATGTACATTTAAATTATCAGACATATTGCTATGATACCGACTACCTTTTTTTGGACACAGCAGAAATAGCCTCGCACGCAATTGCTACACTTTTGACACTTGTGAGTGGAGAGTTTTATGTTCTCTTTTATGAAGAGATGAGAACTGAATAGCAACTTTGAGGTGGTAAACAACATTCTGTTTCCAAAAAACCGTTCAATCCTAAAATGTAATCCTGAAATTAAAGTCTCCACTCAAATATAACTCGTATATACATATATTTTGCATAAACTGACATCAACTTTTTTAGGAATCCGTGATGACTCCCGATTTCTTTTCACAATTGGAATTTTGTTCATGTGTTTTGGTACAACTCTCCTGCATGTGTTGGTTCGGAAATGAAATAAAAGATGCTGTAAGTATAAAAAACAGTATGCAGATGTGGATGAAAATGAAAAAATATCTTGATGATATCACACAAACCGATCATAAATCGAAATAATGTATTCTCGGATATAAGCTTGTTGGTTTTTTACTTTTCCATTCACAAAAAATGAGAAGCCTACGGAGTTTCGAAAGGATACTTCTGTTTTTTTTTTGAAATGGAGAAAATATTGAAATTTGTTTTCTGAATTCTATCTTACGGTTGCGACACGAATCGATGGCTGATTTTTCATTTCTCACTTTATACGCTGCTTCCCCTGCTTCATTCACTCTTCTGCATAGTCCGCGACGATGAGCGAAAATAAATTGAAATATTTCTGTTGAAGGCAGTCGCTCGAGAGGAACATGAACTTGGTTCCAGTTCCAGTAATGAGGTTATGAGGTTGGGCAGAAGACCTACGTCGTAAGTCGCAAAGATTACTTTACTTCTGCGGTAACCCATGCATGGGGTCTTCTTGAACAACATATCTAGTGGGCTACAGTTGGAAACTGAAGAGTTCATTATGGTCTGCCATCAACAAAACGATCAACAATAAGATAGAAAGAAGCCCTTTCAGAGTTTCTTTAAAGAAACCCTTTCAAGGCTTCTTGTTATTGATGAGATGCCGGTTTTGCCCTATGCTCTGGGGGAATGATAATTGTCAAATTTATTGGAATTAGAAAATGGAAGAAGGGACGAATAAAATATCGAGATTTTCTCTTCGAACACTGCAGATTCACGGCCATCGAAGTAAGAATATGTCGTAGCGGAGTTTTCAGTACCAAGTGAAACGAATATTTTCTGAAAAGAAGATGAAAAATGATGAAATATAGAGATGTTCTGTTCAAAGTTCGCAAACCCTATCCAGTTCAGTTTGTTAAGATGGGTATTCTAATTATTGGAGTCCTTGGTGGAATTATGCCCTCTCCACTCTCGAATTTCGAGATCATGCCTGGCCAGACAAATAATTTCCCTCCTCCTCAATCTTCCGAACTCTCTAACAATGCTGTGTTGAAGGTCCTCAATATTTTAATATTCTTTCTGGCCTTTATTCTTACTCCATAAGAATGTATCCATAACACTTAAGTCTGGAAACCTTGCTATCCATTCATCATACAAATAGTCTTCGAAAATCTACATTAAAAACTGGTGATAGGTTTCTCCATTCTGAATCCAGTCAAATAAATGAGGACCCAAAATTCTATATTTTTAAATTCCTGCCCACACGTTAATACTGAATCGCACTTGAAGTCGAATTTTTCGGAACTGCCTGGGGTTGTTTATGCTCCAAATACGTTCGTTATTTCGGTTGAATATACCACAATTCGTAAAAGTGCTTTCATCTGTCCAAATAACATTTTCCAGGAAAACAGGAAAATCAGGTCTTCTTATTAGCCAATTACAAAATTCTAATCGCCTTTCGAGATCACCTGAATGCAAGTTTTGAGATATGTGTATTTTATAACATTTTAAACCGCTCATTTTGAGATGTCTTCAAGCACTTGTATGACAAATATTCATTTCAGAAGAAATTTGACGTGTAGATATCCCCGGGTTCATGTTGATCTGCAAATTATAAATTTTTATTGAAAAGGACACAATATCTAACTTACCTCATACATACCTCATTTATCAAATTTTCTTTAGTGTCCTGGTCCATTCTGTCTCCGTATTTTTTCCTCGGCTTTTCAAATGAACCAAACTCGGTAAGATTTTGATCCAATAACTTGAACATAGTTCGATGTGGTTGTCGTCTTTCGGGATACAAGTTTAAATACATTTCCGATGTCCTAACACTGTTTCTATCGTATTTGTAATAAATTTGTATCATATCTCTTTTTTCTTCATTCGTGAAAGCCATTTTTCGCCAAAAATTCAATGACTTGTACAATATCAAAATGTCATTGAGTGTAACAAATTGAAAGTCGAATTTAGGAATATCAAAATTAAAGCCTATTTTGATAAGAATTTTTTTTCAATGTCTCCAATTTTTCGAAAGAGAATGATGTATCATTGAAAAGGTCAAATCTGGTTCTATTCAAAACAGAAAGAATCCATGTCGAAGACAAAACGTCGGATAGCAAATCTGAAAACACCATTATGTAGCAGGGAAAAAGTGGCAACGTAGAAGTGCAATTTATTTTCGAACCCTTCGAAAAATGAAGCTAGAAAAAAAATAAAAACCATTTTCCGAAATTTCTGTTATTTCCGGATATCTCCGGATACACTCGAATTTCAGAACTTTCTCAACGGCATAGTGTTAGTTAGGTGCAACTTTGCTCCAATTTAACCATCTTCGTATCTCTCATAGTTTCCGAGATCCCAATGGTGAGAATCGAATTTGAAACACCCTGTATAGAGATGCCTCATATCTTGATGATGCTAACTTGGTTAGCGAACGCGAGATACGGAACGAAATGTAGTATTTTTGGTTAGGGAAAAGCGCTCTCAATAGATTTGAACTATTGTCAGTATTGTGTGTGTTATTTATGGATTTTCAAATTCTTTCCACAATTTTATGTACCGAGCGTTTTCAAATTTTGGGTGAAACTGAAAACATAGTCAGATTCAAACGAATGAACAGAAAACTTGATTTGAAATTTTTCAACAACAATTGTTTCTGAGATGTTGAAACTTCATATTTTTCAAAGTAATTGAAATCAATTTTTCACAGGGCGAAGCGATAATCTTTTCACTCTACGAAATGGACTGGTTCAGTTGTAGTCCGAGATTCAAAAAGTCTATGATACTAACCATGATTCGAATGCAACGACCTATTTATTTATCAATTGGAAAGTTCAGTCCATTGACATTGGCTACACTGGTGACGGTAAGTTACAGAAAATAGATACTACCATCTCGTGACCATGGCAGAGACGATGATCTTCTTCCCTAGTGTTCTGATGATGTATTCATGTTGGATGTTTCCGAAAGAACTCTGTATGTTGATTGAAACACAGTTTCGTTGTTTTTCCAGCCTTCTCAAGGTCTTTACTGATTCACGAGAGAGAATTAAGTTGTCTATTTAGTTTGATACACTGACTCATTTGAAGCGGTTTATCTTCTGGAACTTACTGTTCTTCTATCGAAATTCATTATAATCTATTATTTTTATAGGACAGTGAGTCTATAACAGCTTTGAATTGCCCATTGAAATTTTCCTGTCTATGTGACGACATAACTTACATGGAACACTGTCATCCCCAATGGTGGACATCCTATGTTTCGAAATAAGGTACTTTTCCCATGTCCTCTTCAGCACCGACCTGGATAACATTAGATATAGCACTCGATTCATCCATAAAATTACAACTCTTTGTCACGAATGAGTTGAATTTACTCATGTCATCGATGACTACGTAATGATATTCATTCGCTTATTTGATTTGATCCGATCCCAGTCAAAGGAATATTCTTCAAATTGAAAGGGGCAAATTTTCCCACATTTCTTTGTATGCAGATAGAGAAGTAAAAAGCCAAAACTTTTCTTTCCTCAACTTGTAATTATTTGAGTTATCTGTGAATGTGAAGTCGGAAATCCTGGTGTATAGGCTTTCATGGCCGGTGTCTGATGTCCAAAGTTTCCGGATTCATTAGCCGTGGTCTGCAGGTTTTTAAACCTAATGTTTCGTCTGCTACTGCAGCATATATTATCAAAGGCGATGCGGCAATGTTCGAAGTGATCTACTTTGTTGCGATGTGGTCAAACTGAAAATGGTCCTGGTGTACTCGTACTTATAATGGAACTAGGTGTCGGAGGGCTGACTGCTTCTATATCTTGTGATGCACTCTTTGGTGCAGTAATGAATATTACTGGAGTTTTCTCCCAACACCAAAACGTTATTTTAACATCGAGACATGTGTTTCGAAAACCAAGTGATCCTCTTCTAGAGGAAGATTAAACTCATCATACTTACAAAGTTATCCTTATTTAAACCATAGATACATGTTCTAGGTATCTGTGTCTCAAGTGCCTTAAATTGATTTCACAATATTGCCTTATCTACTAGTCTTAAAAATTAAATTTTGAAATGTGTAATCATGTAATAGTCAGGTTAATCTAATGATTAAAATATTATAAGCTATTTGAAATTGATTTGAGGAAGAAGAAGTTTAGGTTATAAATGAATGAAATCTCGACTTTAGAAAAGAACAAAAACTGAGATAAATATAGAATATTCACGTTGAGAAGAGAATGACGTCATTTTTGATAATTTTGTATATCCAACATAACTTTGAAATTCCCAATGAAATGCGTTCAATAGCGATGAAACTAGTAACATTTCATTTTGTGAGTTGTGACTGATAGTAAAATTTCAGATATTGCCTAATCGAAAAACACTCGAAAACTGTCGGTCTTTCTTTTTTTTCAGAACTGATAATTTTTTTTGATAAGACCTGCGTATATTCAATATGCTTAAAGCATAGTCGAAACAGCCTCAACAAATGTTTGAAGGTGATTGACAATGTTTCGTGATGAATTTCACTAGTTCGGACTTCCATTGTCTACTATATAAAATGATTTGAAATCCCTGAANCAAACGCACGGAGTCAACAACAGGAACCAACCGCACATTTGTTGTTCCAGTTAGAAGACCTAGAATTCCCAGGCTACATCTAACATGACCACGTAGGCAGCTATAGCTACCTGTGTGACATCCGGGTCCAGGATATAAATACAGAGAGATATTTTATCGAATGTGTTCGATACAAATCAACTCCTTTACAATATACAAAACTTATAAGTATTCATCGAACATATGATACACATATGTAGTAAGAGAGAGAAAAAAAATGAAAGGAATAGAAGAGGGGTAATTCATAATTCTTGACTTGAATGAATTTGACTTGACTTGAATGGCTTGAATTTTGCAATCTATGCGAGATTTTAGTTGCACGATAGCTGTTTTTCATATAGCCAGTTACGAGCCTGAAGCTTGAAAAGTGGTAGTTTTAATTTTTTTAGATGTGTGGGAAGACTTTTGTTATGAGTGTAAATAGAAAAACTGAACGAATTCGTGAACAGTGCTGTGCTGTGGTGGGGGTCCGTTATTGTATTTTTGTGTCGGATATTCACTTTATGTTCATTTTCACGAAATCGAACTTTATCATAAAAATACTGCGGTGATTTGTTGATGATTATATTGTAAAATACGGTTAGAGATTGCAATAAGAAACGATTCATTATTGACAGCCATTGCGACTGAGAAAGCTCATGAGAGATATGCTGGTACTTATTGATGCTATAGATGTAGCGTAAACAGGAATTTTGGACATTTTGTGTCCTGCATAAATCTAGACTATCCGAACAGGGATAATATACAGGTGAGCAGTAGGTGAACTGTGAAAGGATGAGAATCTGGCATAAATTGATTTTTGTCTGAGTATTTAGGTATTCTCGGTAAGGGTAAATGAATCGTAAGTTCGCGTAAGTCCTCTGGATATATAATGAAACTTGCTTTTTGAACCTGAAATTATTATCCAACATTAGGATTGAGTTGCAGTTCGTGTTTCACAGAAGAATCATAAATGTTTTGAAGTTTAGTATTGATGTCAGCAACAGATTCATTCAGCAATTCTGGTTTAAACGATACATACAGTTGGGTATCATCAGCGTAAGCATGATCCTCACCGAGATTGATCTTAGTCAGTATGTTTGAGGTATATAACATCTGTAACATGATTGACACGTCATCTGTATCTGACATATAACTGGTTAACTGAATTTGGGTTTAACTCACAGTTATTATTATGTAATTTTTAGTAATATTCATCTTTTTATTTTATAGCCTTCTCAAGCTTAGAATTATGCTTTTAATATATTACTACATTTTATTAGCCTATTTTGGTGTTCATGTTATGTCAGTAAGTATTATGTAATTTTCAGTATTATTTATCTTTTTTTCATAGCCTCCTTCAGCTTAACATTATATTATATGCATGCAGATATTGACAGCAGTTATGTGAGTTCTGCTCCTTATATATTTTTACGCAAATATAGGCTATCCAGAGGCGGAGGGGTAGGTATTTTTCTGAGAAATACATTGCCATAATAATACCATCTACTCCAGTTGCATTAGTTTTCAAGCAATTTACTGCATCTACAACGTCTTCTTCATATACAAGGTGAAATTCAAAATTATTTCCGTTCAGATTCGGGGATAAGTTGTTATTAATAAATTCAATAAGTTTTGTTCTCATTATTGAAATATGGGACACTATTTACAAAATGGGAGTTGATCTGATTGGCGTCATTTAAATTTTCTGGGATTGCAATGTAAGGTTTTCTGCTTGTAACATTCAGGTTTCTTAGCTCTCTCCATAGTTGCTTCTGGTCTTTATTGGCACAAACACGGTTAAAATAAACTTTTTTTCATGATTTATAGAAGTGCTGGTGATGTTTCGGAGATTTTTATAATGACAAAAATTATCCTCTGATTTAGTTTGCTTGTATTTCAGTTTGGCTTTGTCTCTGAGATTCATTAATTTTCTGAGATTATTGTTCAACCATGGAGAAGGTGCTTTCGTTAATTTCAATAACCGTATTGGGGCATGACGATCAATTAGTGTTAGGATAGATTCATTGAGTATTTTCAATTTTCCATCTACATTTTTAGTATAGTATATTCTATGTGAATTCATTTTCTCTAGTTCGGAGCACTATCATGCTAATGATACACAAATAAATTTGTCATTCAAACCTGCAGAATACTCTTAGTGCTTAGTGCTATTAGTGCTTTGAATTTTGATCAATATAATCTTAAGCAATTTTCTAATTATCATTGCCTAAAACTGAATTCAAATAAAGCTGTTGAAATCATTTTTGGTATGAATAATGCAAGAAAAAAATGTATTGCGAACTACTTTGATAGCATTCAGATTCGAGGGGGTTCTTTCGCACTTTCTAATGAAGTTAAGAATCTGGGTTCGTGGATTGACCAAGATATGCTCAGAACTAAGAAAAATCTACGCTTAACAGTAGGATTTGTGACTGGCCACTGTCGACTGAAAAAACACCTCCATAATATGGGGCTATTCGACACACCTCTATGTAGGATGTGTGAACAGGAAGATGAAACTGTCAGGCATGTCCTATGGGAATATCCGGAATTATCGTAAATAAGAGAGTGTGTGTTCGGCGAGTCTTGGCCTACACCTACCAATATAAAAGAGATGTCTCCTAGAGACCTGCCCACCTTCTGGAAAGGACAGAATGGACGATGACCTAGGAGTACGACTCTTTGGGAGGATGTACATAGTCTTAATTGAAATTAAGTACATCAGTACTCTCAAATCATGAAAAGTTGATATTTTGATGATAGTTTGGACAAACTCGAAATATTCAAATAACACCAAGAAATCGACTCCACATCATACAGGGCGTGCTAAAATTACTATTATTTCCATTGTGCATAAAAGTAGTCAAAAGTTCATTTTTTCAAATGAAATCGAGTTGACAGAACGGGATCTTCCGGGAGAAGGAAATATCAAGAGCAGATGGATCAAAAGAACCTTCCGGTTCTGGTGCAGGTGTTTTCAGTCGCAGACCCAGGATAGATATATAAATCTGCCTAGGAACATATGTGACAGTATTTGAAGCGGAAATTTATGCTATTGAATTGTGTGCGGAGAGTATAGAAAAATCCAACCTCATGCACAAATCAATAAAAATATTCTCGGACAGGTCAAGCGACGTTGAAAGCTCTTGACTCCTACCAAGCAATATCTAAATTGGTAGCAAATTGCCAAAAACGACTCTCCTCGATAGGAAGACTTAACGGGATTGTCTCTTGTCTGGATTCCTGGCCATACTAATCTGGAAGGTAATGA